TTGTTGAAGAACTGTCCGTTGGCCATGTCTATTGGCAAGCAGGTCAGTAAAGGCCGCACCTTTGTTTGGGAGCATGGCAAAGTGCCATTCATTGCTCTTGACCACAAGAAGTGCAGGGTATGGTGTCCCACTGAACACCGCTGGTATGCGAGAAGGGTTCAGAACGATGTGCCCATCTTCTCGTTGCGCGCGTCAGGGGGGCCACAACAAGGACTGAACTTCTCATCTCAACCACAACAAGAAGCTGTACCAGCCCGCTGTTGTTGCTGAGTGTCCTGAGTCGTGCTTTTGTGTTCCACCTACCCGGAGGAGGATGCAGGCTTGAGAGTTGGAGACCAGGAAATCGCAGCTTCTAGCGCGTGCGAGGTGCCGGTTGAAGGCTTGGTTGTAACAGAAACAAACAAAGAACATAGAAGGAAGCAACATCGCAAAGACAACAAACGTCGCAAGTGGGAGGCAATGAAGAAAACCCGTCTTGTTGAGAAAGGGCAAAAGAAGCTTCCGCGTGGCGAGTTGTCTATGATTGTGATGATGCGCGACATGGTTGAGTTCTACACCACACAGGCCCAGGCCAATAAAGGCAAGATAGCAAAACGCTTTGAGGGAGTGGCCGTTGAGGTGATGAAGGAGCTCGAAAGTTTTGAACAACCACAAGTGCAGACTGACCCAACCTGTTTGACTGCAAGCACTGCGAAGCAGCGTCCAAAGCAAACTGGCCTCAAGGGCCGTGGCATGCTCATTGAGTTGTGCACCGAGCCGGACTCCAACCTAGGTGTTGTTGGTGAGAGGTTGAATGTCAAGGTCACACGTTGTACCAAGGAGGTGAACAATTTAGAGTATGAGAGCACCACGTCACACCTAAAGAACTTCATTCGTGAACACCCAGGTATTGATTTGTGGGCAAGCCTTCCTTGTGGCCCGTGGAGCCAGTGGCAATACCCCAATGCACACCGCTATGGGGCAGAGTTCAGAAAGAAATTGGCCAAGTCAAGAGACTTGTCGTTGAAGCTGCTTGGTCGCTTTTGCGAGCTTGCTAGATGTGTTGTTGAGCATGGTGGAGACGTTCATTTTGAGTGGCCCAGGCATGCATTGGGTTGGAAGCAGGCTGCATTGTGCCAGCTCATTTGAGACATTGGCATGACAGTGGTGAATTTTGATGGTTGTGCGGTTGGACTTGTTGATCGGCAGGGCACGCCGTTCCTCAAGAAGTGGCGAGTGGCAACAACAAATGAGAACCTCGCGAAGAACCTGAACGAGTGTCGTTGCAAGCGTGGTACTGATTTTCAAACATGCGCCCATCACAGGTTCCAATACAAGCGCAACTGCAAGATACCCAGAGGTTATGTGTGAGATTGTCTTCTCTTCGTTGTTTCCTGACCTTGTCTTCAAGGAGGTGCCCGCCATGCCCGTTTGCGTGGTTGCGCAGGAGCATGTTGAGAAAGGGCCAAAAGAACAGGTCCACCGTGGACCGTGGACCGTTGTTCATTGAAACTGTTGATACCTTTGCGACTCCCGCCGAGCTTGGAGATGACCTGGCTCCTGCAGACGACGAGGCTGAAGAGTCGGAGTCAAGAGATGCAAGGTTGAAGCGTGAAGCAAAGAGCTTGGAACACATCACGACACACGCCAAGAAGAACCCGTTTTGCGAACATTGTGTGCGTGGTCGGATGTTGGAAAGATACGCTCATTCTCATCGCCCGGAGCCGGACGAAGGTGAGAAGGCGTATGAGCGCTCTGAAGCGTTTGGTCGCGTGTTGGAGGCCGATCATATCTTCCCTGCGGAAGGTAGCTCAGGCCATGAGTGCGAGAAGGACGCGTTGGTTGTTCTGGACTTGCATACTGGGTTCAGTATGGTTTACCCAGGCAAGGACCGTGCAGAGGACACCAACTACCTCGCGCTCAAGCATTTTGGGGGACACCGCCTCAATGGAGACCCAAATGTCGGACGCCGCTACGGAGTTGGTCAAGGCGGCAGAACGTTTGTGTTGGACGACGTCTCCGAGCGTTCCCCGAGATTGGCCGCACGCAGCGCATGTAGAAAGAGAAGTGCGCGCCATCAAGGAATTGTGCAGACCGATACACCTTCAGGCCGGCTTCAATAGGAAGATGTGGCCCATCTCCGTTGTGTACACCGCAAAGTCTCGTGCTTTTTGGTCGCCTTGCGTGATTCGTGAGCATGAGCGTGGGACGGAGATTGAGGAGTCCAAGACCGGTAAGACCCGTTGGGAGGTTTGCGCAGGTGAGCCCTTCCTTGGCGTTAAGTACCCTCTTGGCGCACTTGTCTTCTACAGGGCGAAGAGTGATGGCATGGCCGCTCCAACTACAAGACCAGGCTTGTTTGCAGGATGGCGTGTTAATTGACTCAGGCTTGCGATACCGCAACGTCGTTCAAGTTGTTGACTATGAAGCTGTCCGCGCAAGAGCGCATTTGCATTGGAGTCCCAAGGACCTGCATGAGAAGGAGGTGTTTTTCCCTCCTGTTGAGCACATTGAGTTTCCTTTGTCCAATGCCGCGATGAAGGCATTGAAGGAGATGTCTGACCCTGACATTGAGGTGAAGAAGAAGATCTATGACAGATCTCTTGAGTCGGGCGTGCTCCCATATGACATTGACATTGATGCTTTTCCGGAAGACACACCAGTTGCACCCCCACGACATGCATACATTACTTTTTCACGTTTGTTGGAACATGGTTTTACAAAGGGTTGCCCTGGGTGTGATGATGGCCACTACCGCCGCAACAAGGCGTGTCGCGAGCGATTTGATGCCATCGAGAAGCTGCAGCGCCACCTACGCCGGCGCTAGATGTCGGAGCACCGAAAACACCTGGACCGCTTCCGACGCCAAAGAGTTCAGCAAAAGCTTCTTCATCCTCTTCCACAGGAGCAGCAGAAAAGGAGCACTGGGTTGAGCCGGAACCGACTGAGGGTCCAGAGTACTCTCCTGATGAGCTTCCAGACATGTCCCGCCAGAAGATGTTGCAGCTGGGGTCTATGCCCTGGTGACAAGACAGCTCACCCGGAACGAAGTGTTGTCCCGACCAGATGCACTGCAAGCGACCCGTAAGGAGTTCGATGGTGTTGTTGGTTCCATGGGAACACGGGAACTTGAGTCGGTTGATGAGGAGTTCCGCGTGAAGGAGGCTGCGTTGCAGAGTGGAGAAACCATCCACATTGCAGACTTGCTTGCTATTAGTAGTGAGAAGCATGTTGAGTTGGCCCCAGAGTTGCGTACTCTGAAGGGTCGTGTGTGTTACCGTGGCGATTCTGCAAAAACGGCTGAAGGGAAGCTGGCGCTCTACCAGACGCTAGCTGCATCTCCCGCTTCAATCGTTGCAGCCAATAGCGTTATTTCTTTTGGTCTTTTTGAGGGACACAAGTTGTCGTCGGCAGACGCCGTTAAGGCGTACCTCCAATCTGAGCTGAAAAGCTTGGCTGCCACCTACCCTCGCTTCAAAAGGCCAATCGTTATATAGATTGCGCAAATCGCTGTACGGACGCCCAGAAGCTGGGGCCCATTGGCAACAGTTTTCTCGAAGAGCAGTTGCGTGGAGCAGTCAAGCTTGAAGAATTTGCATCCACCTTCACCGTCCCCACCTTTGGAGGATTGGCCTTGGTTGTCTACGTGGACGGCTTGATTCTCTCAGGACCAAGTCAGTGGCACGAGCCTTTCTGGGAGGCGTTGGGTGAAAAGGTGCTGATAGATGACATTGGACCGTTGGGTCGCTTTCTTGGTCGACACCACTCCACTGTCGAAGTTGATAACAGAGTTCTTTGGCTTTGACATGCGTGCGTACGCTGAGGCTACTGTTCAAGAGTATTTGAGGGTTGCAAACAGCCCAAAGATGAAAGTCGTTGCGTCACCGTTCCTCAGCAAGGGGTTCGTTGGAGCAGATGAGCGTGGTGCTCTGGCAGCTTCTGCCAGCAGCATTTTAATGAGACTCATGTGGTTGGCGCGTCTTGCTCGCCCCGACCTGCTGAGAGTTGTCACTTGGTTGGCGACCATGGTACAGTCCTGGACGCAAGCTTGTGATGCGTACTTGTACCGTGCCATGTGCTACCTCGAGTGCACCAAGAACGCGATGTTGCTTGGGCATGTGCGTGATGCGCCGCAGGATGTGTTAGTTGAACTTTTCGCAGACGCAGACTACTGCGGAGACGACGAGCGCACTCATAGTACCACTGGTGGATGGCTACAGTTGTCTGGCCCGCAGACGTCGTTCCCGTTGGCGTGGCTGTCAAAGCAACAGACGGCTACATGCCGAAGCGCGACAAGTATGTACTCTTTGAAGAAGGGTCCTTGTTGGAACAAGCGACCAGAAAGCCGATGCTTTCACTAAAGCAGTCGAACCTGCACTATGGCCCAAAACCCTCCAAAATGTTGGAGTGTGCCTCGATGGCTACACCATCAAACACACCTCAGGCACTGGCCTGAAATTGGACAAGCAGATGGCTTTGCAGCCAGACGCTCCAACGACAGACGTAGCGACAGGGCTCAGGGCACGACGGGCCCTACCCAGCCAGGGTACAAGAAACGGCAGAAACACAAGCCGAAGAGAATCCCACCGTATACAATACCGAACAGCCTTTCCGACACAGCTGGGCAGACCGGGATTCAGAACTGATCCCTAGCCGTCGAGCAGCTCAGGAGTCAGAGGGGGAGAAGAAATTCCTCGTCTAAAACCATAGCCTGGACATTGTGTACGGACATGGAGCGAAGGGCTTGAGTTCATGCATGAAGGGATTCATAGAAAGCACTTTTGGAGTTTAATCCTGTGCTAGGAAATTGTGCAGTGTGAACACTCACATCACCGGGAATAGACACGTCCGGTTTGGACTGACTGCCAGCTACTTTGGCTCAAGGCATACTTGGAAAAGCTGAGGCTGCTTCGCATGTCGATCGCCGATTCGAGAGCTGCTTCTGCATAGGTATATCCAGGTATCGAGCAATCAACTGAAAATCGATTGATTTGACCTGACCTGAGCATCCTCTTCGTGAGGACGGGGAGCCCAAGCAGGTGCGTGAGGAGATGGGCAAAGAATCGCCCGACTTTGTGGGACTCTTCAAGGAGCTTGAGTTCCTGGACGGAGGCTGAGGGTGACCTTTGAAGTCAGCAGCAGGGGTATAATTAAGGTTTGGGTGAGCAATCGAACAATCAACTTGAATATGTGCTTCATTCCAGGTGTTGACAGCGGCTTCAAGCATGTGGTGCCCGAGGGCCATGACACGAAGCTATACCAGATCCGGAGAGTCAAGGGCAAAACCACAGTCCTGCAGGTGCCAGCCAGAAAAGAATCTTGACGCCAATTTTTCTCAGATCCATTGAGTTGAGGTTTTTGACTTCTTCTTCTTCTTCTTCTTTGAACATTCTATTCTACATGTACTAGTTGTGGCGGATGAAAACAGACTCAACAGAGACATTGCAAGGCAAGCGCGCAAAGACAAACGCCAACTTCGAATTCAATGCCTTGAAGATTTATCGGACACACGAAAATGTTGGCGGCATATATAGATGGAAAGGAACACGTTCACCCCTAATTTCTACAGCATGAAGGACATGCATGGCAATCGTACTCCCATTGAAAATAAAGCTAGCGCCTTGGCAGATTACCTGTATAGCAAACATTGGAGTCCAATTGCACATCCACCAGCACTGGAAAATCGACCTAAACTCATTCATAATGATTTACCGTATGATACTCTTGATATCACTACTGAAGAAGTAGAAAGTGCAAACGACAAATTGAGAACAAATAAGGCACTAGGACCAGATGGGTGGGTGTATCACAGAACTGTTCAAATTTCTGGACCACGGCAATATTCAAAGCTTGACCGCATGTTTCAACGATTTTTGGCGCCACAAATATGTTCCGGATGATTTTACCCGAGCACAGATAGCAAGCATTTACAAAAGGGAGATCCAGATATATAATCCCGAAAACTATCGTCCTATCTCATTACTGAACACAAGTTACATTTTTTGCCGACATTCTCAAAAACGGATTTCTGACATTGTTGACGGACACTTGGGCAACACACAGTTCGGCTTCAGAAAAAGCAGGTCCACAGTCCACAGTATATAGAGCCAACATTCGGTGTCAGAAGACTCGCTGATTTCGCTGAGCAGGGTAACGACCCCCTGTGGCTCATCTTCTTAGATTGGGAGAAGGCGTTTGATAAACTTGATCATGATTTTTTTTGCATCATTATCTAGATTGAGCATACCAGGTAGCATCATATCTGCAATTAAATCACTCTACAGAAACCCTGAGTTCAGAGTTGCTGTCAAAACCCACTTCAGTCCATGGCTAAAACAAAGAACGGGAATACGGCCAGAATGTCCTTTGAGCCCATATCTTTTCATCGCAATGCGCTGCATGTTTCAAGATGTAAAAAGTAGTCTCAACGATCCAAGAAATCAAAATACCTTCCAAGGTATCAATTTCAATGAGCTGCTTTATGCAGATGATACATTATTGATAGCAAAACGTGCCAGGGTTGCAACCAAGTACTTACATTTAGTGGAAGCAGAATCTAATTATCTTCATTTGAAGCTTAATCAAGACAATTGTGCTTTTATTTCATGCAACTCAAACGGTAGTAGCTTCTTCTCCAATGGGCTGCGAATGCAGACGTCCGAAGATATCTCTTACCTCGGCATACATGTGACCAAGAAAAGCGATCCAACACATGAGATTAGGAAGCGCATCTCGGCAACTATGGCAGTCCTCAAAAAATTGGACATGTTTTGGCTCAACACTCGCTGCAGCAAAAAATGCAAGCTGTTAGTATACGATGCATGTATTACCAGCAAACTTTTATATGGTTTGGAAACTTTAGAACCCACGCAGGGGGTGGCGCAGCTTCTCAACACATTCCAACTCAAAGGACATAGAAATCCTTAATTTGCGAACTACCTACGTCCAACGTGAAAATACCAATGAATTGGTTTACAGCACAGCCAATGAAGCGCTCAATGTGCCAACTGCAGGGCCATTCAGGAAAGTAAAACCCATGACAGAGAAACTTGAAGAAAGGACACTCAAATTACTCGGACACATGCTCAGAAGAGAAAGACAACACCCTCAACACCAAGTTACTTTCTCCACAACATCAGCAATGCCAAGAGAACAAAAAACCGCAGGGTGGGTAGACCAAGACTCTGCTGGACCACAAACAACATGAAAGGCCTGGTATTTTTTCTGTATCAATAACCAAGCTCAGCCAAAAAACACCATTTCAACACGTATAATCGCAATATGAGAGAACAACTTATTGCACAAGCAAAGCAATATCAACCACCCTTTCAATAAAGTCTATTCAGAAAGCAGTCACAAGAATCGCCTCTCAGTGTGAATATCCTCAATGTGAATCCCAATGTGCATCTCAGTGTGAAATCACCTGACCTTCACACTTCATGCATTTGCTTATTGGATCGCAGTCAATGGTGGGGACAGTGAGTGTGCCGGTTAGGTTGTATATATACATAGTTTCTGGAAGTAGGTTAGTGCCAACGACTTGCCGCCTTGATAGGTAGGATAGTTATGGCGTTAAACAACATGTACTAGTTGTGCCAAGCTGAGGAAATGCTCAACGACGGAGATAGCTTCGTTCTCGATGCTCCAGAGAAGATCTACGTCCTGGATGGTCCCAAGGCCTCTCCCTTCGAGAAGCGCCAAGCCAACGAGACTGCTGAACATATTGAGACATCCAGGAGCGGAGGGAGCGGAGCTTCGGTTGGGTTCGGAGAGGGTGACAGTGAGAGTTTCCAGGGTGGGGAAACCGAATCCCAGAAAGGAAGCATTCACCATTAACTTGAACAGTAGTCGTTGACGTTGAAGTGGTCTGGATTGGTTTTGCCCAGGCATGGCAAAGTGCAAGCCACCCATGACATTGACGATGCTTTCTGGGCATTGTTGCCATAGAAGACCTGGGCTTGCATTTCTGAGTCCCTGGCCCTAACGCTCAGATCGATTCAGAAAAAAGAGGACGAGACCCGGGAAAGTGAGATCGTACTTACAGACCTGAGAGTGAATGCAAGTGCTGCAAGTGAGCAAGTTTGAAAGGAAGAGTTGAGAACCCAGATGAGGAACCTAAGACTAGCGATGGCCTCCAACCTAATAGCAATGGCCTCCAAGTTAATAGCGATGAGGTAATTCAATGCAATTTAGTAATTTAGCATCCTCCACTTCAGACACCATCAACCCGGAAAAAAAGTCCAATGGCAGGCCTCAGGGTGGTGACCGCCGGGAAGAGCGGCGAGACCGGGGCGACCGGGGTGACCGGGGTGACCGAGACCGTCATGAGCGGGATCGCGACCGTGGAGACCGCGGGGAGCGAGGACCTGGGTTGATTTCAGTAGTGGTCCTTTTGGAATTCTATCAGTATGAAGATGTATGAAGAAGCAGTATGAATACCACAAGAGCAGTATGAAAGCGTATGAAAGCCACGATTCTATCTGAAGTCTTGTGCAGGAGACCGACAGGAGATGGTTGCTAGAGCCTGCACCTACTGTGCCCGCCAAATCTTGTCAAGATAGACAGCTAAGCCAACGATGCCTGGCAGGAACGCCGAAGAAGCCGCAGTTGGACACTCGATGATTGTGGCAAAATCTCTAAGCACAGTGGCCCTGCTCCGCACATGGGGGGCAACGCTTGGTTTTGCAAAGGGTGGGCAACCGGCAAAACCAGCTGTTTAAGGTGTGACTTTCAGCTTTGTCACTCAGGCCGCAGGAGGAGAAGCCGAAGTCGTGGAGTTGGACTCTTAGCTCACCGGGGATGTGTTTCCGACGTGTGATTGCAAGTTGTCTGGATGTCACGAGTGATTGAGGCCAAAGTAGCTGCATGAGCTGAGACATTCTGAGCATTGCAGCGCTTGCAACGGCAGCATTCCGTCACCGCTACTTCCAGCCAAACCCCTGATACCATCTGAAAATATCTGAAATGTGAAGGTAGGCCTGTTCCCTCAGCGTGGCGGCAAGATCGGTTTCACTGTGTCTCACCTCTAGCAGCAGCACACGATTGGAGGATTGGAGGCCAAGTCGGAGCAAAAGATATACAATGTATTCCCCTGCTCCTGTTGGTTGTTGTTGGTGGTGGTGGTCGTGGTCGTCATTGCCGTCCTTGGTTTTCATCGCCTCACACATGGTGTTTGGGTACTTGATATTGTGTTCGGAAACGCAGCTGGATACACTTTGGGTGATGTGTGATTTGCTCGTTGGATTGTCGCTGCTGCTGCTGCTTCAGTTGCTCACCAAAGGGGAGGTGGCTGCTCCATCCTGTAATAATGCAGGCCAGCCACCTACGGAACTGGCTCAATGGGTTGTTGACAGCACTTGCAAGCCAGACAGCTTTGGCTTGAAAGCTTGTATCGTGAACTTGTTTGTGTCAGCTAGGTTGAGAGCTCATCATGCCCAGACTCTAGGCCGAAGGCACGAAAGAATGTGCAAGCCACAAACACCGTTGCAATCAAAGAAAAAGCTCCTAGTAGCGTCCTTTGCTCCTAGTAGTAAGGCCAGGAGCCCCTAGTAGCGTCCTTGCTCCTAGTAGCGATGCCCTGTGTTCCTAGTAGCGTCCTGTACCCCCGCCAGATAGTATATAAATTTCTTTGATTTTCCATGCTTTTTCAATCATGCTGCGCAAGTTGTTTCAATTGAGCACAACAAGGGCTTAGGGAGGTTGGTTTGTCAGATTTCTTGAGTGTGATCTATCGGGCGAGAGAACCCAAAAGGATACTGACTGGGAAACTTCTGTCAGCTGCTCCTGTTTCAGTTTGGAAGGCCAAATTGGCAGATCTCCTTTCCTCCCATGCGGGCCAGGCTGCTTCAAGAGAGATGCAGCAGCCAACCAGCTTTCTGTTTCTGTGTGCGCAAGGTGCACTTCTTGGTGACGTTCCTCCAACAAAGAGGCAGCACAACATCTGAAGAGTTTAGGCGTGAGAGGGCTTTTGTTTCTGCAACTTGCTGATGGAACATGGGTAAAGTTGATGTTGCAAAACCACGAACAATCAGTATGCTATGAACAGGACAGAGTGATTTGCTAAAAAGTGGGGCCGCTGCGACAGTGGTTGATGAGTCCGACAGGAATAGGCTGAAGAAACGCCAGCCACTCCAAGTTCGCGGCTACAGTTTCTCTGCAGAGGTGGGACATGGTGGGACAATCGAGGCACTAGTAGCTTCTTGTTACTACTGTTTGTGGAAAACGCTTAAAGAGTACTTGCATTCAAATTTGCCATTCTTGACCCTGACCTAATGCGATGCCGGACGCTCTGCCTGCAAAATAGATACTGTAAACAATAGTACTTGTAAACAATAGTACTCAGCCACTGGGCTCAAAGGCCTGACGGCTCAGGGTCACGGCGCCCAAGGGCCTCTAGCTGACCACGACGGTCAGGGGAGGTGTCCACAAGTGGATCTCCCAAGATCCACAGCCTGTGTGGATTGAGGCACTTGTTTTCACTTGGTAGGTGGTGCTTTCTTGCCATGGATGTGCACCACGTGATGCGGTTAGCAGACGACATTCTGCATGACCCACTTCGCTCCAAGCTCAAAGGACTCTTCACCGGGGTTTCGGAAACCACGTTCCTGCCTCGGTCTGGTGAGAGACACGTTTGTGCCGGTGACATTGTCCAATCTGGTGATAGCTGGCTTGACATTGCAGCCCTTCAGTTCATCCCAGGAACTGGATTTGCATGCTGCCATGACGCGGACCACATCATCAAAGTACACTTGGAAAGCCCCGCCAAGAGGTCCATCAGGCTTTCGGTTGGCGTGCAAGTCCTTTGTGCAGGAGTTTTGACCCGTCAATGCCCTGGAAAAGAAATTTGGCTGGAAGATGCAACGATATCATTCCGACCGGAATTTGTCAAAGAAATGGAATGGACCACGCTCCATCTATATGCTGGTGCATTCTCGGGCTGGAGCCAAGCTATGCATTGGCTTCATGATACCCAGGAATTTGTGCTCAATGGCCAGGAGATCTTCATCGATGTTGATGACATGGTTATGCAAGTATGGTCATTGAAAAACCACGCTGCAGTTCTCTCCACCCCGATTGCCTTTGATGTCGCTTGGGTGCCATCGGATCGGATCGGTGTCTGCGGCCGGATCCAAGATCCATCCATTTCGAACTTAGTACGAGCACAATGCAACTTACTGCAATCCATGAGCCCTCCATGTCAATCATGGAGTCGAGGCGGGAAACAGGCTGGCATTGGGGATCCAAACGGATTCTCGTTCCTCGAAGCTCTGAGTGTAGCAGCAAGATGCCAGTCAAACGTACTGGTTGCAGAGTGTGCTGACGAAATCGTCACGCATCAACACTGGCCATTCCTCCAGGAGTATGCTAGAATTCTTGGGTATAAGATGGTTTTCTCACAGGCAACTCCTTTGCACACAGTGGTTCAACACAACCGCACCAGGTGGCTTGGGGTCTGGGTTCGTGCTGATCACCAAGCCTTCCCTGTGGATTTTGTTCTCACACCTACTGTTTTCCCTCGGCCTTCATGGGGGGATCAGGTCCATGAGCTCCGAATCCCATCGGTCTGGAACCAACAGTTGAAATTGCGACCGTCGGAATGTGAATTCTATGATCGCATTGATCTTTTGCCACCCATCAAGAGGCAGAAGCAAAGTCGGTCTGGGTCCTCCCGCTCGTGTCAAGGCCTTTGGGCAAGAGTTGCTGATCCCTCAGAGCTGCTGCCAACGCTATGTGCATCGTACACTCGACAGCACTTGTTGCAGCCCCAACATATTCAGAACAAAGGGATTTTCGCAGTTTTGCAGCATGATTCGCAAGGATTCCGATTCCTTTCTCCAGGCATGTTTGTGTCCATGTTTGGAGCAATTGATGACCAGGCCTTGCCCTCAAAGATTCATGAAGCGTTTCATATTTTGGGTAACGCGATCACTGTGCCACACAGCATCCTCACGATTGCTGTCGCCTTCCTCTCCATCACCGGAGAACGCATTGATCCGCTCCAGTTGGTTCGACAGGCATGGGCTGCAAGATTGACCGCACATAACACTGTTGTGTTCCATCAAGGTGATTTTGTGCATTTCGTTAGAAACACGCACATCCACCAGTGGATGCAAGCATCCAATTGTAGCCGAAAAGAAAGTCTTGCACGAGTCAAATGTAGTGGCCATGTCCAAGAGGTGCCTTTTGATCAAGTCATCCCAGGAACCACTGAGGGAGCCATCATTGGCCAATCCTGCTTCCAAGGACCGTTGGACTTGATCAACCAAATTGCACTCGTCAATGTTGAAGCCAAAGCTAATATGCAGTTCCCAATCCAGACACTTGCTGGACTTGCAAGGGATTGGGACATTTTCGTAGGACATTGTAAGCTTGGGATCTGTCATCTCGATGTGATTGCTTCCGCACCTGCCACTGAGGTCATTGAGATTTCACCTACGCTACCCTTCGAACCAGAGGACCAAGTGGCAGCTTGCCTTGAGGACGGGCCCGAGTGGCTCTCCTTTGTCAACAGTGATTTCTTCCGAGTGGTGCAGGCTGTCATCGAAACACTGCAAGATGACAACACCACCAGGAGGACCTCCATCACGATTATTCAGCAAGCATCCAATCAGTGGACCTCTGTCAAGTGTTCAGGGTGTGATGCTCAGCATTGTATTGAAAAGTGTTCGGCGATCCAGGACTACCACACATCTGTACTGGCTCATGGGAGAGGCACTATTATTGCTTTGCTGCAACATGAACAGTTGGCAAACCGGATGCCTCTCATTGTTGTCGACATTGATCAAGATCCTCCGCTTGCGACTATCATCCAGGTCAAGCAATCTGCCACAGTTGATTGTCCTGTCTGGGTTGATGAAGAAGAGAAGTTTATCCAGTCGGTGAATGGCCAGTCCACATCTCAGCGCGCAGCTCTACATGCAGGAGACTTCATCTCGTGCCATTCAAGGCCCAAAATTTTTGCTGGTGGACACCATGCGAACCTGACGAATCCTCCATCATTGCCTGCTGGCTCCACGTTGACGGCAAGGTTGGAGTTCATGTCCAACACGCATGGATGGATGGCCTCCGATGAGATGTACTTTTACACACAAGATTTAATGTGGATGCAACAGGAGTTGAAATTTTCTCCTCCTGTGATGTGGGAGATCAACAAGACCACACTGGATGAAACTGGGTTTGGCGAGCCATGCATTTTCAATAATGCTACAACGGTCATTCCCATCATGATTCGAGCTCATTGGGGAGCAGCAGAGATCACCAAGCGAGATGGTCGCACTTTTGTCACGCTTGTGCAAGTGCATGAAGACTTCCGACAGAGTCTCATCCACATCATCACCAGGCTGATTGACATTCCTCAAGAGCGAGTGACCCTCCACTACACTGCGGAGAACTACCAACCACATCTGTGCGGATGGAACCTGATGATGCGCTGGTACTCATGGGGAGGCCATCATCTGCAGATTGATGACATTTCTGCACAATTCCAGCCTGATGCTCAAGTGTATGCTGCTCTGGAAATGGCAATGCAATGTTCCATTGAGGATTGGAGACAAGAGAACATCACTCCCGCTCTTGGTTCATTTGCACATAGACTTCGGAAGCGATTTTTGCTGACTCTTGCCCGGTTTGACCATCAAGGACGGCCTATCAACATTTGTGCACTGAATGTCACCCATCCTTCTGATCATGCTGCCGCTGCTAGCCAGAGCCAACCAATTGCTGTCATTGATCCCGTGCAACAAAGACGTCAACGCATTGAGTTGCGTTTGGATCATTTCCGTGAATACAGTGGCTGGCTTGCATCAGATGAGCTTGACTATGCTTTAGAGGGACCTCGTGCATTGTGCACAAACACGTTGTTCTGCGCACCTGCTACATGGAACACTCAGCGTGAAGAGCTGGTCTTCCTGAATGACATTGTCCCAGACTACTCGGCCTTTCGCAACATTTTCTGGATGATCATCGTCAACAATCACTGGATCCTGAAGCTCTCAGCAATGATGCTTCTCATTTTGTTGCCACAGTTCCAGAAGGTATGCGAGAAACCCTCCGACCCCTCTTTGATCATCTCGTCCACATCACAGAAGTTGACAGGCTTACACTCAGTTTTGCCTTCCAAAACCAGATCAGTCCGCCCCACATGTGCGGCTATCATTTGCTCCAGCAGATTTTTCGGAGGCTTGAAGCTGATCAGGTTGCTCTCCATGAGTCTCAAAATTTGCAACTGACCGCATCATATTGGGCTGCCACTCTTTCGCTCATACAGGAGGAAGACAGAGTTGTATCGCAAAATTCCCAAGCGTCAGCTGCATTGTGTGACTTCGCATTGGCAACCAAAGGATGGTTTCTTCTCAGAGTTGTTGAGAACCGATTTCCTGATGTCTACTTTGCCGCAGGCATGCAGGAAGAAGACGATTCCATGACTGGCGACACATCCAAAAAGACCAAGACTTCATCACACAATGCATCATCCAAGCCTAGCTCGACCGGTGAAGGCAGTGATCCATGGACGTCATGGGATCCTTGGAAGACTAAGCCACCTCGACCACAGCAATCACGATGGGAGGATCTCCAAGTCAAGTCTCCCTTGCCATTCTTGGGATCTGACTCCAAACCACTCCAGCAGACTCATCGTTTGCAGATTTCTTCCACTCGAGGAGGGGTTGTGTTCACAACCAAAGGAAACCTTTCCGAAGTTCTCAAGAGCAAAGTCCAGGGTGATCTTGTAGCAGTTCTTCCCGCAGGGGACCAGAATCATCTCAAGTTTGTCAGTGAAAAGCTGGAAGGACCTTTTGAGGTCACAGTTGACGACCCCACCGCACGCCTTTCGTACAAGCGTTTGATCCACTACATTGTCGTCCAAGGGAAGGTGACCTTCAAACTTCCTGATCCAGTAGTAAAACTGACCACACCTGCGATTTGTGAGATAGTGCTGGAGATTGATGGCCGTTTGCTGCCCAAATCGGACTTTGAGAAAATGAGGGACAATCCGATCGTCGCATTTCGCAAACTGGTTTCGGATATTGATAGCTCCATTGGCCAGCAAATTGTCCTATATGGCTTCCGGATGACCCGTGTGCCAGGTGGTGTCCAGCCGGACCAGATGATGCAGATTATCGCCAAGCTCCCGTACGCACAGCGGGCTCTCGTCCTGGAGGCAAGTGGCCAGACGATCATGTTGTCTCGAGATTTCCTCGACCGTGGAAAGAACACCTCTGACACCACAGTGCTGCCCAGGTTTTGGACTCCAACACCAGTCGAACATCAAAACATGAAGATTGCAGTGCAGGGGGTAGAAGGAATGGCAGGAATAGTGATGACCAAGCGAGGACTGGCGCCACGTATCTGGATTGCCAAAACCTCGCAAGCTCGCACACAACTCCTTTCGGCCGACAATCGACTCACCAAGGAGAACATGCATGTGGTCCCCCGTATCACGTTGGAACTTGCCGGCTGGCCTGCCGCCGCAGCGGCGTGATTTCATCCACCTTGCAAGCCTTGAAGGTTGCGGTGATTCCGCTTCGCACGTTCAGGGTCGGAGGAGTTCATGTGTGGTTGGTAACGACGGACACCAATCCACCGCAGTCGAGGTTCTCTGTGCAGATCAACTCCGAAGTCTCCGAAATACTCGTACAAGAGACTCCAGATCACAGCCACCCTCGGGGAGGGAAAGGCCAGCAGAAAGGCAAACAGAAGAAAGCCCCTCCTGCCACGGCCACTTGGACTTCGGCCAGCCCTTCGATTCCGCTTGCTAAGCCAGATGATCCACGAATTGAGAAGCTTGAACAGCGGTTCGACAAGCTCGAAGCTCGCCAGCAGACCTTTGAGAACAAGGTCGACTCACGCTTTGTAGACATTCAAGACTCTCTCCGGCAACTCTTGGCCCATGCCACGCAACGGCAAAGGGATGTCTCTGGCGAGACACCGCCGCCTAAGCAGCATAAGACGTCCTGACCCGCAAGGGCAGATGCCTCAGTCTTGCTCCTGTTCTTTCTTTCGTGGAATGTCGTGTACTTGGCCGCATGGTCCTGTTCGTTCATTGGCCAAAAGGCATCTGCCCTTTTTCTCCTTTTGATCTATGCATTCCCTCACGAATGCCTTGGGGTTGCCTGGACTTTGCATAGTGAACCGACATGTGTTCTTCCGCAAATCCGGCTGCTAATGTCTGTTCCTGGCCTTTGGAACCTAGTGTGCATCGGTCCTTCGTGGATTTTGCGCTTCGCTCTTTTGCTCCGGTTCTGTTCGTATTTAGCATACTGGGATGGCCAGACGATGAAATTTGCTTCCAGACCGAAATCACCTGCATGTTGGTCTTCCAACGTGCTTATGTCGCAGTGAAAAAGTGCTTGATCACTATGCAGCTCTGCACCTTCGGTCACTTCAACTGCCATGACATTTTTGGGGTCCACAATGTCATTCTTTTCTGGGTGAGCTCGACTTGCATTCATTTTTGGCCGACTGTGTACTTGCGAAACCAGTTCAGCCGACTTGTTGTCATGTGGGAACACCCTCAATTCGTTTTTGCCTTTTGTCAGCAGGCTCACTCTACTGTCCACTCTAGTGCACCAGCATTTTGCAGCGCCATTGGTTTCACTTCACGTCGTGGCCCGTGGGTCCATCGAGAGTTTGATTCTACTTTAGGCTTTCCAGGAGAGGGGCCTGACCCTCCTACCCGAATGAAGTGTGTCTCGAGTAATATTGGGTCTTTACAAACCAATCCAAGTTGGAAAACATGGGATGCCGATGTCATCTGTCTCCAAGAGACTCGTGTCGGAAAGAACAATCACAGGAATGCCAAGAAACTGTTCGAAACGGTCGGGTTTACATCGTGTTTGGGCGACCTTCTACCTGGGAAATGGCACGCGAAAGGGTCCACCCAAACCCCATGTGGAGGTACTGCCATTGCTGGCGGTTCTTCGTATATTCGTCCCTTTGCACAGGAAGAGGATCAAACTGGCTTGTACAAGCAACTTTTCGGCGCAAAGCGGGTCGTTGCAGCCTGGATTCAGGTCACATGCCATAAACATGCACTTTTCCTTTCGGTGTATGCTACTACCGGAGCTTCAAATGATGCTCGCATCCACGCTGAAAATAACACCCTTTTTGACATGATTTTGACTTTCGTTGCACAGTTCGGTCAGGTCCCAGTCATCATCGCTGGTGACTTCCAAGCTTTGCCTAGTAGCTATCCGATCTTGGCACACGCCTTCAATTTCCAATCCTGGTTTGATCCTATCACTACTACGGATTGCGAAGGCCACCTTGTTAGACCACTGACTTTCAGCCAAGATGGCGCCTTCTCTGGGCCGAATGATGGTTGCTCCTCGATCGATGCCGTACTGCTTAACAGCATTGCCTTCAATGCTCTTCATGATGCACGTGTCTTGGAGCACTTTGGCCGGCAGCGCCGTCCCATTCAGATCACGTTTGAATGGCCTTCGATTGAGCAACACGGGTTCATTCTTTTTAAGACTGCACCTTTTGTGCTTGATCATGTCAGTGAGAAAGATCGTAGTAATGAGGAACCCCCCCTGTGGGCTGCCACCTTCCGTGATGCTTTCCACCAATCTGAATCTTCCGATGAGAAGTGGTCCATTGTCAATGATTTTCTCCAAAAGAGTTTGTTGAGTAGGGGTGCGGTTTGGGGGAACGGACCCCAACAACGTGCCAGGCCTTTTTGTCAATAAAGCCATCGCCCCCAAACAGCTGGTGAATCACTCTGCGTGCACTGCGCGAGGCCATAAGCTCTCGAAGCTTATCAATCGCCTGAACGAACTTCAAATCCGATTGTCTAGACCTCCGGGTGCTGCACAGGATGAGTATATCACCAGGCAAACAGCCTACAAAACCTGGAGATCATTAGGTATTGTCAACGCTCCACTCGGATGGGAAACACCGTCTTCACCTTCGCTCACTGAGGTCTTTGTTGTCAGACAATGGGCCAATAAGGAGCTCCTTGCCCATGATTCCGAGATTCGGCTGCAGCGCATCAAACGATGGAAAAACAGAATCCAACAGTCGGCCAAAGGCAATTGTGCTTACATCTTTAAGCATCTGCGTAATAAACAACAAGATGAACCGACTAATTTGGTCATGGATAAAGATAACAACATCGTTGTTGCACCACAGCATGCAATTTCGTCTCTTAATGAAACATGGGATGAAGTATATGCTGTTAATGTGTTGCGTGATCATCCATTGCAGATGCTCAACACTGTGTGGCCGTACATTCAGCACACATACGAGCCTGCAATTCTACCACCAATTGACGGTTCAGCACTTTTTCGAACCATCCAAAAGCGGCCTGTGTCAGCCGCCCCTGGCTTGGATGGGTGGAGAACAGCTGAACTTCAGCAATTCTCGCCTGCAGAACTTGAACCAGTGGCAAAGTTTTTTGCACACATTGAAGATAGTGACCAACCATTGCCACAGTCACTCGTGTGTGCAAAGCAGGTCATTCTTAACAAACCTGGTCCTGCCACTCCCCTCAACAAGCGACTCATCACTATTCTGCCTGCCTTGTTGCTCGCATACACAGGTAGTCGCTTTGCCGAATTGCAGGAGTGGCAAAACAGTGTCATGCCACAAGGGGTTTTAGGTGGCATCCGTAACCGTCATATGTCCACGCTGTTTAACGAAATGCATATTGACCTTGATGCTGCCTTCATTGACAACACCCCTCTTGTCGGGTTGAAGCTTGACAAAGCAAAAGCTTTTGACCGAATTGTGCCTGAATCTTGCCTTCGGGTTGCCAAAAGGTTTGGTGAATTTCTTCCTCAAGATCTATAGAGGTCTCCACCGACACTTGTCTTATCGCAACTGGTGTTCGCCCCATGCAACAACTCCAGCAAACGGAGTTGCACAAGGCTGTTCATTATCACTGCTTGCGATGAATGTATACAATAAGGTATGGTTCCACCTCCTTGAGCATTTGCCAGACATAACGGCAAGGGCCTTTATCGATGACGCATACTTGTGGTGCCGTCTAAGCAACATTTCAGCCATGCAAACGGCCATTGAACTCACCCAACTTTGGGACAAACTTGTTGGGCAGAAACTCAATGCAGGGAAGTCCTCTATGTGGGGCTCAACGGTGGAAGCACGGAAAACTATTAAGCTTACATTCCCGGAATTTCCCGTGTTTCTTGAAATTGTTGTGCTTGGCACTCGCATGTACTGCTCCGATCGTGATTGTTTTGGTTTCTGTCCTAAGACTGCGCAACGGATCTTGACAGACATTGACAACATTGCCGCCCTTCCTGTTGCTCACAAAACTCGGGTTCACCTCATAGGTGCAAAAGTGATTCCGCAAATCTCGTTTGGAGCTCACATTTCGAAAATCCCAAAGAAAGATATACAAAATATCCAGAATGCGATTGCCAAGGCCTTGTGGGTCAACCGACCAAAGTGGAGGTCCAAATCGCTGCTGCAGGCAGTTTTGCCCCAGCCACACCGTACTGACCCAGTGTTTGCAAATGCGTATAACACCATCTTTGAGCTTGTGAGAATGTGCCAGACTGCCCCATGGCTTATTCCTAAGTTGGCTCGCACCTTCAAGCATGAAAACAAAGCAAAACACTCACTTGCACATAACTTGGTGTATGCAACTCAAACGCTTGGCCTTGAGCTTGATAGAGACTTGTGTATTTCTTTTGAAGGGAGCAAACCCTTGTGCCTGACGCAGGTCCATCCCAAAGACATTCGTAAAGCATTGCAACTGATCACTAGGCAAGCCTGCTATGTTGCTACTCCCACGAATGCTAGGAAAGATTTCTTCAAGCCCAAGGGTATTTTTGATGTCTCGCAATCCCTACGTTTTGTGCACAACAACACATCGAATGATCAATGTACTGCACTTGATGTTTCTCGCTTTGAATCAGTCTCAGTTGGCTGCGTCCTGACCAATGATAGAATGGCAAGCACAGGTTGGGTCGAAAGCTCCGACTGTCGCTTTTGTCACACAACTAAGGAATGCCTGCCGCATCTTCTCCAATGTGAGAAGCTTCATGAGCTGATTGGCAAACCGGTCCCACACGAATTTGGGCCAAACTTCCTTACTATGGGACATGTTCACCATCCGTTGTTTGTGGGTCGGCGACGCCTCCTTCATTTGATTGCAAATGAGCTTGAAATCTCCCCTGCCTTTCAGGATGGAGAACCACGCAGGTTGTGGTCTGATGGATCCGTTGTTCACGCAGAACGTTTCTGGTTGACCACAGCCACTTTTGCAATTGTCGATTCATGTGGACGATTGGTTAAGAAAGGACAGGTCAACCATTGGAACCTGGCAGCATACAGCGCTGAATTATGGGCAGTTGTTGTTGCATGTGCGGATGCCACACAACCCATTCAAATTTTTCCGATTGCCTCACAGTTGTTGAGCAAACGTCCATTGTTTTCAATGGAGGGTCCTTTGACGTGAACTGGGCTTGTAAAGAATGTGGCAATTCTTGCAACGACTTGTGGCATTGCGAAAGCAAGTTTGTGACTTTCCTTTTGGCATTGAGTGGATACCAGCTCATTGTTTTGATGATTTGCCAGAATATATGATCACCGAAACATTGGCATCTTCGGCCAATACAACACGAGAACATGTTCTGAACAATCGAGCTGCTGATCGTTTTGCTAAAAGCTTGGCACATAAACTTGCACCCGTACACCCGGATATGCAACGTTGTGCTGACCGAGCTATTGAACAACATCATGCATGGTTGGTTGTGCTACATACATGGCTGCCAACTTGTGACCCTGCCACCAATGAGGAATTGCAGACAGCATCAAGCTCTCAAGAAATCACAATTGACCAATGCAGAAGTAGATTTCCAGCATGGCATTGGAACTTATCCAAACGCCATTTTCCGTGGCGAGCAAAGATTCCTTATAAGTTGAAGCAGCCAGCACGATGGAATCACACAGCGGCTGATTGGAGAACTGTTTGTGCTTTCTTGCGCAACTTGGCCTGGATGGTTGACCAAGACCAGAGTTTTTCCTTCACTGAGCTTGCAGCTGTTTTCCACCATGAAGGCTACAGACTTGAAGGCGACAACACGGTGAGAACGTTTTTTGATGTGTACAAATATATTCGAGAGAGTTTGATGTACATGAAGAAGATGCCAGAGTGTGACAGTTTCCCTGGAACTTTCGACACTGCCTTCCCACGATCGTGTGGGAGAGTCATGCCACAGGGATGCATTCGCGGTGCGATTCCCTTTTTCACCGACGAAGCACGGCTTCTCGTGGCCCGCCTTTTTGCGGCCGGGGCGGGCAGGACAGTTGATTCCTGGAAACTCCCGCTTGCTGACTTTTGAGCCTTTCTTTTGCACGCTTGTAGTTGTCTCTATCAGAGGTAGAGCAACACGCTCTGCTCATGGTTTCACATGAGACGTTTCGAGCGCGAGAGGTAGTAAACAATAGTACTCCATTGTCCTTTAGCATTGTTGCCACACCAGGTTATCAAGGAGGCCTTGCAAGTTTGGGAGCAGCGGACTTTCAAAACAACGAGGCAGGAGAAGAACTGAGTCGACAGGTCGCCGTTTCATGAAGGGATCCAGCACACCTTTACACTGCACAATGCTGCCTGCTAACCCCATGACTTCTTGTGGAGATAAAGAGTGAGCCTAGTGCTCCGTACGTTATCGAAGAGAAGGGGTCGTGGTTTTCTATGGCTTTCTATTCTACTGTGCTGACAGGAGTTCAGACTTGCCTCCGAGGCCTACCGCGAAGGGAGTTTCAACCGATCACACGAGTCCTTTGCCACTGGAACCCTTCATAGGTGAACCAGATCAACTTGGGACATGTGTTTGAAGCCACAGAAAGCATGTTGGACAAACCAAGGTGCGGTCGCAGAACGTAAGACATGAAGAAGTGTAGCAATATCTTTGGAAAAAACATGTCCTGAGATGTCTCGGACATCAATCTGTGAACAGGGAGTAGTCCAAGGTTCTTAGGCATCAGGTTGCTTCGCTCTCAGGGCTGAGCAAAGTCCTCACAATGATAGGGCCGATGCGGCCGATGCAGCTGATACGAAGGCAGCTGCTTGTCCTTCAGGGAAGTGAGTGAGGGAGTGATGTGGATGGAGGGGAAAGGGAAACGCTGGAACCAGAAGGCCGGAAGCATTGGACTTTACCCTGAACAAACATTCAAGACAAGGACGCCCCAATGCCTTAGTCTTACCCGACGAACTCTTGCAAGTCTTGTTCGGTGGTTTAACATTGGGCACCGTTTTTCAATGTTTTTGGGTCGTGGTTTTTTGGCCAAATATCACAGTGATTGTTGGCCCATTGTTCAGCAAGTGTGCATTAACAGCGGATGGAACGAGTTTGCAAACAACTGTCAAAGGCAAATGTAGAGGCAATGAGTGCTAGTGACCCACTTCAAGAGTTGCCGTTTGTGCTCAACTGGTGGATGTTTTGTTAATAACAATGCACATCAATGTATAGTAGTTGTGCAATGCCTGTACTATCAGAGGTTCCAAGTCCTATGGATGTCACCGGCTCGATTCCTTTTGTTCGTTTGGTGGCCGTGTCCAGGTCAGCGCACAGAGCACTTGGACAAAGCCCCAAGCTCCTCATGCAGAGCCTCAAGTGCCCGAAGTGGGCTTTCAGAAATTCATGGATGCAAGCCGCCGGAGGTTGGTGGGGGAGATCGGTGGAAATGGAGATTGAGTTGCTAAAGAGGGATATATAAAGAGTGGAGTTTGGCAAGTTGGGCACCCTTTTCCTACTTTCTGTGTGAAGTGCTTGCTTTTGTGAAAGCTATCCCGTCAGGACTCTGAGCAGATCAAATGCAGATGCAAAGAATGCAGATGGGGGCTGTCTCACGAGGCTGTGGGGTCTCAGCTGGTAAAAGCAACATGTGGAGACAACCCCATTCCGTGGGTGATGGACAGTGGGTAGAAGGGCATATTTCACTCTTCAAGAGCTTCTAAAGCCAAGCGGTTTGGCGTGGGTGTGCTGACTAGGGCATCGGTACCTAGTACCCCGATCCAATGCCGCTTTGGCTGTCTCCTTGTGGCAGACCAGGACCTGGATTGAGATGGCGGAAGCTCGTTTGGTTCCTGACCTGTGGTGCGGGGCAAGGTTCGTAAAGAGTTTTGAGTATAAATATAAGCTTTCCTCAATCGGACAGGAATACGTCGGAAAGAGCCGGCTGGTTGAGAGCAAGATAAGAAAGCATACTGTACCTCAGATTCTCAGATACTGTATCTCAGATGTTCCCAGTGATGTGTCAAGCTCAAAGCATTTTCTGAATCAGCTTACAGTAAGCATCCTTCGTGCCCGCCAAAGGCTTGCTTCTGTCTCCACTACCATGTTTGAAACACAGCTTTCTTGAGGCCGAACTCTGGGAGCCGCCCTTACTTTCGTCAGCAACGACTGCATTCACTGCGACATATGCCTTCTTTCGTTCCAACCCCGCCTGTCAAGGATACATGTCTGATAGGATGCCCGACGTGTCAGGATGCATTTACATGCATTTACCATATGTTCCTACTGTCAAGCCACCTCATGTTGATGCATGGTACTGTATTGGGTATTGGTGTTGTTCTTTGTTGGGCTTGCAGACAGACGCTGTCACAAAGTCATTTTGAATGCCTTTTGCGTGCTGCATTCAAATTAAAATTGCTGCTTTTGGCTTAGAGCATTATCAAGTTACTGGCGTTCGATCCCTTTTTTCCCACGTGCACTTCGCATGTGATTGAATACGGTGCGAAGCCATGGCATCATTCAGCCGGGGCAAAGGAGCACCACGAGGAGCCATTCAGCTTCGTTTAATGCTTTCTGATCTTGGTTGCACGATCATCTTTGAAGCCCTTTGCCAACAACAAAAGTACCATTACCGCTTGTCCTCGCAGGATACAGCTCTTTCGGAGGCAGTGGTGAGAGACGGTCGGGAGGAAGACGCTTGCACAATCCTGATGATGAGATCGATTTGGACTTCTCTTCTACCATCGAGGCTGGAAGCTTGACATTTAGCCGCCCACATGGGTCCCTAAACGCTTCTGAAGGGCATTTGGCAACGACCTTAATAAAATTATATAGTTACTTCTTTGTAGCCTTTGGAAGACCTCTTTCATGTCCGTTCTTGCAAGTGTTATATAACGATGTGGCTCAGGTCAATTTGAGTTCTGGCCTTGGGACTGGCGTGCGCCGGGAGTCTTTTGGCTTCAGCTCCCACTCACTTGGCACACGAAAAGTCATAGGCAGGGAATGGGCAGGCATACTCTTTTGCCAATGCACCCATGCTCTCCTTTGATCCGAGTTTGGGTAGAGATCGTTCGTGAGCAGCCGTTGGGTTTGCTCCATGCTCTGACTGGTGCACTCCTGTCCAGCAGGTGAGAGAGCGACGACGAGCTTCCAGCACATGCCCTCGCATCGCATTAGTGCAGGTGCGGATTTGTCGTTATCTTTCTGGCTGCATCTTAATTCGGGCCACAAATGCCCCCTTCAACAACGTGTGACGAGGATTCGATTCCTTTGGCCTGGTCTTGTTTGATCTGACCTCGACTCATTATGCCTCACCGTGTGCTCGCAATGTCAATCTCACTTTCCTCACATATCCGTCCACTGAAACCCAAAAGTCCCGTCCACACTGCTTCAGAGGTCTGGGCAGCCAACAAAGATCAACAAAGGTCGATCCCACGATCCCACGGATTTGCCATGTGTAGAGAAGTAGCCATAGCGCACGAAGTCCACGGCAAAACGAACACGAAGCAACGACGAGGTCGAAGCTAAGGGCAAAGGCGAATGAACGCCACACGCAGCTTTTTGCAAGCTTCTCGAGCCCACCCTCTACGGTGGGATATGGTTGGTTTGAAAAAGAAACTCATGACATGACATGTCAACTGGGCGCACAGCGTGCGTCTCAACATGGGGGGAAATGTTCATCCCTCAGCCCATGGAGATGCTGCGGCCAAGAAAGCATCGAGCTCCGGTCGGATGGTCTGTGCATGCTCGTTCGTCCTATCTAGTGGTGGTCTGTGCATTGCACAGTATGCACATGCTCTACAAACATACAGCGGGCCGTTCATCTGCTCTACAATGTGGCAGGTTTCATGGTGCCAGCACACAGAGGTTCGTGAGGTCACGATGTTCCTCGAGAAAGGGCACATGGAGTTGTGCCACTCCATCTCGAACTTCAGCCGCTTGATGAGCTGGTGTGCCGTGCCAACCAGGGTTCGGAGGGTCTCCACTTCATCGACCAGGAGGTCCAGTGCGGTCCTGGACTCTTTGGCTGATCGCGCAGCCTCTGCACTGCGCTGTTGCTCCTGTTGGAGTAGTTCTCGAAGTCTTGAATGCACGATGGGACGATGGGTTCATCTTTCTGAGTCTCAGCCTCTTTGGTGTCGATCACATTCTCCTTCTTCTGGTCCAGGCGAGGTGCAGTCCAACGGCCGATCATGAAGACGGTGGCCATGGCAAGGACATGCATCATAGCCAGGATGGCCAACCACAGCCATAGTTGTCCCTCTTCATTCTCCTTCTCCTCTGCTTCAGCCACGCACTGTTGACCCTCAGTCAAGGTCGGCATTGAGGCCAGCAGCAACATCACGAAGATATTCGAAATGCGACACTTGAAGGTGGTGTCCCGAAGCAAGCCGCCATGGCTCATGGCGAACGCATACGTTAGAGGCTCCACATTCTGGACACAAAAGACACCGTCAGGAGTCTCCTCATTCCTTGGCTGGTCCTCATTCGAAAAAATCTCCGGATACTCCGAGACGCTGACATTGGCAGGAATCTGCTCGTCCACAGGGTTCTCATTCTCTTCAAGGTGTGGTGGAACATGAGGTGCTGCTGCAGTGGTTTCTGCTATGGCCTTAGCCTTCTCCCCCTTTGTCTTCTTCTTTGAAGCCACATGCTCGGGGTCCCAGGTCAACTTGATGCGGCGGTGCCGAAGGCGGGCAGCAAGTAGCGCTCGAGCTGACTCCTTGGTGAGTCCATCAGCCACCTGACGCTCAGAGCTCATCCACCGAAGTTGGCCACCCAATTCTTCCATCATCTCTTTCATCACACGGATCTCAAGACTGACCCGTTTGTCGCCGATGAACTGACTCCTTCGCGGTGGTAGGAGTCGTACAGAGCCTTGGCATCAGTCACCATCGTCGGTGTCAAAGTAGACGTTGACTTCAACAAATCCTTCAACTTGAGATTGGGATGGTGAAGATAGTGCCAATACTTGCAAGCGAAATCAATGCTGTCCACAGCTTGTCCTCCAGCCTGGGCCTCTGCAGCCAGTGAGCTTCGAGTGACCCTGGGAGTGCGGAAGCTTCGCCAATCCAGTACGTGGTACTTGCCATCAGTGCCAGAAGTGAACAACTGTCGGTTGACAAACATCAGGATGTAGCCACCTTGCGAGCTGCCGTCGGACCTGGCAGTGAAGCCAGCATCAAAGAAGCACAGGAGTTGCAGTTCGCTGGGTTGTCCAATGAAGTTGTAGTATAAACTGACATCCTTGTGTTCCTTGGCGAACTTCAAAAGCCGATTGCAGTCATGGACGGTCTGAGTGGTGGCCTTGTTCACTTGACCTGACAACATGGAGGTCGAGCACTGAAGGTGAGGCGAGGTCTGCACAGCGGGCCACTGCAGGGAGCCGAGGATGCCGCGGACTTGAGTGATTCCCTTCTCATCAAGCGGCTCTTGCAGATCACGGTGCTTGGAGATGGTGATGGGCTTCACCTTGCTGAAGTAGTTTTCCTGATGTAGGCGCCTGCCACCCTCAGGAGTGCGATCCAGTTCGCATCCACAGTACTCCAGCTTGTCGTTGTCCTCTTTCCATGCCCGAAATGAGAAGGTGGAACGCAGCATGTCGGTGACTGCTTTGTACCTGGGAGAACGAGGACATCCAGCACCCAACATGTCATCAACGTGCATGATCACCATGCCGCATAGTTTCTCTGGGCCAAGAGTGCTGGTCTCCGTGTGAATCGGATCATCTTCGGAGTACTCAGGATCGTCCTTCTCGTAGATGAGGAAGGCACATGGGTCAAGTGGATGCTGTCTCAAACCTGCCCTCAGCAACCGATCGACTGCCTCCAAATACCAACCACGAGGGGCATCTGTCTGGCCGTAGCAGGGCTTCAACAAGAGCATCCTCGTGTCATCTGACGCTCCCAACAGCTGAAGTGCCTCTGCTGGCAGCTTGACCCAGAGCTTGCGGGTCTGTGGACGACCTTGGAGGAAGGCAGTGCTGACGTCTGCTGTCCATGTTGGCCAGCGAAGGTTTGCCGCAAGTGACAGGACCGTGGATCTTGACAGCCTTGTAGTCGTTGGAGAGGATGTGGGAATTGTCCCTGCCAGCGCGTCCGGGTCGGCAAAACCTCGAACGATCAATCGGGCCTTCGCCCGTGGAGTGCCATCTTCATTCTTTGACCACTTGAGCAAGATGCGTGAGGTCAAAGTACGGGCTTCATCAGCTTCAGCGGTCGTCTGAAAAGCCCAGACTCC